GGGGTGTCCCCTCCCTTCTGCATCCCTTTGGAGCCAGAAGGTGGGGCTGGAAAGCTGTGAAGCGACCCAGATTGAGGTCTTTTGGAGTGTGGTAAGAGGGGTCTGCACTGTAACATCCCACAGGCTGATCCCTGCACCCATGTTCATGGCCAGAAAAAGGCCAAAGAGGGAGTAGGCAGGTGGTGGAAGAAGAGGAGAGAGAAAACTAACTGATGGACCACCACTAAAACTCCATTTTTCATTGTATTTTCTATAAAAGACTTTAAAAATTATCCTAGTAGGAAACAGCAGTATGTCCCCCCCCAAAAAATTTTGATGTGCACAAGGATAAAATGTTAAAATGCCTCCAGGACTTGACATAAAATAAAAACCTGATTGGGCTATTTCCATTCAAGCATTTTTACATCTTCGCAGAGTAAGCGTGAACCACATTTTTTCCCTGCCCCCTCTAACAGCATGACTTTTATGTTCCTTCTCCCTCATCTCTGTCATTAGGCGCTATCTCTGCAGCCCCACGGCCGGCTGGAACAGAGCCACCACCTTTAAAATACATTTAGTTGTCCTCTCCATGAGAGAAAAATTGAGAAGGGAAAAACGCATCCATGGGAGGAGAAGGATAGAGAAGCTCCCCTACGTTTCCCTGTTCCCCCTGGGAAGAAAAGACTGACCTGCAACCACGTTGTGTGCATTTTACACTTATTTCCTCTGCTAATTTAATGCATAAAAGAGGCTTCTATGGCTTGTGTTACATATGCCAGTTTTGAGACACCAGGCGTCTTCTCAAGAGCTGTCAGATGGATCGTGATGAAAATGAGCATAACTACACATGACCTTAAAACTTGGCCTGAGAGACGCCTACAGCTCAACACGGGCCTATCTTGCCCTCCTCCCCTCCCACGGCCATCACCATCTTGCACATCCAAGAATAAGGAGTATTTCTTGACAAGTTCCTTTTGAAAGTCATCCCCTCCGGCCTTAATATCTCAGTCCTCTAAATCCTCACTCAATCTCACTTCCCGTGGACCCTGCCTGGCAGGCTCACAATCATGGCTGTCACCCAGCTCAGGATAAACGGATGCCTGCAATACACATTTTCCTATCCTCAGAAGGAAAAAAAAAAAAAAAATTCAAGACCTTGACATATTTTTCATCCCTAGCTGGGATAAAAAGGCAAAATCTGCTGTAAAATGAAATTAGATGAAGAAGAAGTCACGCCTCCCTCCCCCTTAAAAGGTTTTTAGCTCATGGAAAATGTTTTACTTGGCAAAGCTGTAATGGATTGAGTTTGTTTTTGACACAACCTGTTGATTTCATGCAACTCCTATAAAACTCATTTCCAAATAATCTCCACAATTTATTTTTTTTTTTTAAATTGCAAAACAGAGCGGCACAACAAAGAGGTCTTTTTCAAGACACAAATTTGTCAAAGTCCATACAAATCCACAAAAACATCATTTCCACTCAAATGACATTTTCCCTCAGAAACTAGCTTCAATAAGGGATTTTTCCCTACAATCCTCAGAGACTCATAAACATCTTCACTTGCTAATTACTGCTCCACCACTGGGCTGGTGATGAACGTCAGCCTGGTGTTCCCACCACAAAGCTGCCAGGTAAAGTGCTGTTGTAGAGCAGTCCAGCTATTGGTTTTGGAGGATACAAAACTGTAACTGCCACAAAACATCAGAGGACAAAAAGGGCACGCTGGTTTCACTCAACTGTCGTCATCTCCCCATCAGCTCCACCAGTCAAATATATTTTAAAATATTGTCTACAGAGTTGCGTTTTCAGATTAAATGTCTGTAGCCAAAGGAGAGCTTCCCAAGTCCCCTGACCAAATATTTCATATGAATCAAAGATACCCAAAGAGTATCCTTCCTGCATTTGGATCATTTACTTCATTTCCATTACACCACAACCTTCTCTCAGTTGAACCGAAGTGGTCCAAATACCACTACGTCCAACAAGGGTTAGGATGAAGACATCCCACAAAAGGGCAGGCGCATGGTCCTTGCTACTTGACTGAGTCTCCACCACAAAGCAACACAAAGAGCAAAGAATCATGAGAACTATCTGAAAAAAAGCCAAGCCAGCAGATAGCAACTAATGAGACAGCTTGAAATCCAACCATTGCAGACACCTAAAAAAGATCTGGAAATTCTGCACAATTCTGGAAATACACTATTTTTTGGCTGCCGAAGGGTGATGCTGCCCACCTAGAGATGCTCAGACTGCCGTAAGATGGAATTGGCTTGTCTTGGAGGGAAATAAACAGTTGATGGGAAGAGACAGGGATGTCTGCTGCCTGTGAAAGGGGACAGCACTGTGCCCAGTGGAGGTTGGGTATGACAACCTTGAATCACTAATATTAATGAGATGAAGAAAACCCTCTGCAGAGATATAAGCAATACAAACACACCTGGATTTTTAAAATGCAGTGGAAGAAAAATCCTAAAAAATCACATTTATAGTTTTCAGGGTTTTTTTAAGGCTGCCTAGGAGCACTGGTGCTAATTGGGTTAACACTTGCCTACTCAGAGGAGCCTTACATTGGAGTGACAACGCATCACATCAGCAGTGACTGCAAGAAATGACTTAGAGAGACTCGACACAGTAAAAAAACAGCTGCTTGATCATTTAAAGTCCCTGCAGAGGTGAGCTGCCTGGGGGATTTCAAGAGGTATCTTGTGCCTGCCTGTATAATGCTAAAGGTGTCTTCAGCCCTGTCTTGGCCACAGCCACGCAGAGGCATGTGCAGACCACACCACACATTAGAGATGTCCTTCACCCGCAAGCATGTGCTACCTCCTCCATTATTTGCCTCTTATTCACATGTTTCCCTCCTCCCCTTCCCTCTTTGGGGCACAGAGTGTATTCCAGCACCCACTGCAGAAACCCTCACCTGTCCTGGGTCCCGTGTGACCCCACTTTTTCATTCTTCATGCAGAAATCGGGCGAGCTCTGCAGGTAAATCAGCTCCGTCTCTTTAACCGGCCTGATATCAATATCCTTTGGCACGAGGTATTTGCGTGTGCCCATGGGCCGGTGAACAACCTTGGTGGCTGATAAATACTTGTTTTTGAGGTCCAATGCAATGTCTCGCAGCTCTTGAAGGCCTTTCCAACAGGTCTTGATAGAGCATGACCCAGAAACTCCATGGCACTTACATTTCATTTCAAGAGAGGCTTTCAAGACCTGCAAAAAGGAATGCAGGAGTTAGGAAATGTCCTTCTCTTACCTCTAGACATCCCAAAGCTTGCTAAAGGCACTTTCTTAGCAGGGACTGCTATAGAAAAGGACTGCTGCTCTGATTTCTGCACAGCCACTCTAGAGTAGCTCCTGTGCAAAGGGAATGAGATCCCACAGCTCCTTGGTGATCACTATCAGCCCAGGACTATTTTCACCAAGGCACCTTTGCAGCCAGCAGAGTATTTTGAGTTTTGATCAGATATCTACATTCCTAAGGAGCTGAAAATCAAAGCAATCCATAAATAGATAATTAACATCAATTTCTGTCTCTAGCAGCTTTGGGTAAGAGACATACCAAGGCTCTGATGAATTCAGGGCATTCTCACCCTACCCTTCTGCTGGCCATGGGCCCAAAAAGAGCATTTTGCTTTGGATCTGCACTAATTTCTGTAGGACATGTCAGGATGCTGCCAGGAAGGGGTGAATATAATAGCCATGGCAACACTATGTCCTGAAGAAAAAGGCACCCATTGCAATGAAAACAAAACCTCAAGACATTACAAAAAGAAAATAAATTTTTAAAAAACCCAAACCAACACAGATAGAGTGGGAACAGTAGAGAAAAACACCCAGGGGAGGCAAGTTCAGCGTGGTTGTGCTCTGCAAAGGTGAGTTCTACCTGTAGCTACACATTAAGCTGCCGATGAGCTCAACATGCTCCAAGTTTGATTTGCTCCAGCGCTGGAGCACAAGCAGCCCTGGAAGGACCAAGCTGTGTGGTAGGACCAGCCTAGGGAACCTCTGCAGCCCCAGAGATGGGCGCAGGGGTCAGCTTTACAGTCCCCCACCCATTTCTCCAGCTGCACGGAGGGCTGCGATAGGGATTTGCACCTCGGTGCACACCAAGCACTGCACATGGTAAGCATTATCCCTCCGCTGGATGCGAGCTGTTAAAAGCACCTTCTGCCAGATATGGGAATAATCACTAGCGAAGCAGTTTGAAAAGGAAAAATCAGCCCTCCTGGCTGCAGGGATGGCTGGGAGGCAGCTGCTGCTGGATGCGTCTGGCAGATGATAATCCTCCACGCTTACACAGCACTTCGCCTGTGCAACGCCCTTGGCAGAGCACGACAGGACCCATCCCCACCACACCTCCAGGGGTAAGCAAGCCAGAGAGAGCCATCCTCGGCTTTCCACGGAAGGATGGCAGTGAGGCATCCCACCCACGATTATTTAGGGCTGATAATAGCATTCAGGACCTCCTGAGTCCCAGCATGAGTTATGTAGCCACAGTCTTCAGCAGGCCAAAGTAGTTCAGAGCAATCTGGGAGAAACCTGCTTCTTTCACTAGCTGAGAGAGACACTGAACCTCACAGAGCGACCGACCACTACAGATGATTGTACAATTACAATAACTCTCGTGGATTTGTTACCTGTCTCCCTACTTCACTGTTGTGCAGATGCATCAGTTTATTGGCTTGTGATCCTGATTTTTTCATCTTCATGGGAGCATCTGAAAATTTGGACCCCATGATAAGACCATAGTTGAGGTTGTCTGCACATCCTCCCCATCGATACCCAGGTCCAGGTGTCTCACCTGGGATGGGACCACAGGAACAGCCAGGGAGGTCCCCGGTGGTGCAGGCTCTGGCAATGGTGTGGCTGATGGCAGCAGCAGAAAGGGCATACACAAATGCTGACTCCCTTGTGCCTGGAAGAGACAAGAATGCCAGCTCAGCCTCCTGAGACAGCTAAATGTTCCCCAAAAAGAGACCCACACAACCTGTACCCCACAGAGCAACAAGCACACCAACTCATTGCAGCTGAGACCTCCCACGGCATCACCAGCTTGGAACACATCTCCTAAGTGAGCTCTTCAACATGAGCAACATCCCAACAGGGCCAAGAGGCACATGGACTTAGGCAGCTGGTCCACTGAGGCGTGATCTGCCCTTGGAGTTCACGAAGAAGCCCTTCCATGGACTCTCCTACTCCTTTTGTCCCTGTGCTGGATACTGCTTGCAGGCAGATCACAGAGAAGTTGGCATGTATGAAGCTGGGGGAGGTGGTGGGAGGTCACAGAGATGCAGCATGAGCGTACAAGGGAAATCTGAGCCATGAAAGCTGACCGTGCAGCATCACACGTGGCGTGTGCTGCTTGACAAGTCTGCCTGCCCTGACCAGCAGCTCCATGGATGTGAGTAAGTGCACCATGGCTCCTGATGAGATGAGCAGACCAGATGGGTGGCATGCTTTGTAAGCTGTGAGAGACTAGGTCTTGGACTCAAGAGCTCCTGGGCATGACCGGCACCATAATGATGAACATGGTCTGAAATAACAGGACAACTAGGCCGTGTAGTCCCTCCGCATTCCCCCTGGTAGCAAGACCCTTCCCAGCCCCAGCACGCATACACACACCAGCAGACTCTACTCACTCATGTCCCCGGCTGAGCCAGCAGTGGTGTTTACCTCTCTCTAAGTCCAGCAGGTAGTTAGGAGCCAGCTCAATGGAAGAGCAGTTCCATCGCATGTCTGAGAAAGTTTTACGGCAAGTCTTTATCACTTCTCGTGCTGCCTGGATGATGGTCTGCATTAGCTCCAGGTTGCTGCGGCACAGCTGCACCTGGGAAACCACCAAGCCTTCGAGCTGCTTGCAGTGCTGGGTTTGATTCAGGGCCAAAGCCGAAGGAGTCTTAGACAGAGCTCTGAGAAGACAAGCACATACAAAAAGGCATTAAAACCCACCAAAAAAAAGAGAGTTAATCTTCAGGTCAATGTTAATTTCTCCACTACTTTCAGTCCAGTGGATTTTTTGGCCTGTGTTCGTCTGACTTAATTTTGGCTACCTGTAAATAGGTGCTTAGTTTAAGTTGGTGAGAAAGATGGGCAACTATGAAGAGTGATTTATCTCATCTAAAGTAGGTATTTAAGGCAGGTGGGACGAAACACCCTCTAGAAGCACACATTTCTCTCTATCATCTAAGGGAGCCTGGACAAAGCTCCCGGGGCATGTGCCAAGTTGACTGAACATGTAAATCCTGATGGGAAGGTATTTTGCTGAAGAACAAAGGGGGTGGACTGTCCAGCAGAGTGAAAAATGACCCATCAGTTCGATGATAACAGAACGCTGGATCTTCCAAGACTGTGGTATTCAGAAGAAAAAAAAAAAAAAAAAAAAAAAAGTGAAGTTGGAGTTATCAATGTTTTGCATTCAGCATCTGTCTCGCACACTCTCCAAGGATTATGCTAAATGTCATGTAATTAATTATGGAGAAAATCCCCTGCAAGGCCTAGGAAAAAGCCACCAAGTTTTTGAAACAGATGCTTTCCCTTGGAGTTACACCAAGGGCCTCCACCAATTCCATCACTGTTGCATATAGATAAGTCTGTTTCCAAAAATGTAGTGCAGGAGCACGATGAGAGTCCGTGCAGAGAGAATACCATGGTCAAAACTGAGAAAGGATCTGCAGGCACCAGCAGGTAGGTTACCATGGAAGAAACCAACAACATCCCCAAGACCCTACTGGTTCTTCTAGTGTGCAATTGCCAACATTTCCAGGTAAAAAAAAAAGAAAACAGCAAATGCTGCTGTGCACTGCACAAGGCTGTGCTCTTCTTCCACAAGCACCCACAGCGATCAGCAGACGCCTGGTGTGTAACTCTCTTTGTATCTTTATGACCTGCTTAGGGTAGTCGTAAATGTTATTCATTCCCATAAAACAACTTTCTAGCTGGCTGCATCAGTAACTGGCATCTGATCCTGGCAACACAACTGCCTTAACACATATTTCCTTCTCTCCTTGTTAAATGTGTTGCCTTTCAGTTTCATCCTAAGCCATTTTGGTTAGTTTGGCTTATTAGCAGACACATTTCTGGGTGCATTTCACTTTATTACTGTAACATCCACGTCCTTCAGAAGTTAAACGAGATGGAAACGGAGCTAAAATTGAGCCCTAACCAAGATCGAGGGCATTAGCTCTGATCTCCAGTTTTCAGGAAAACACATCGATGTTCCACCAGCTTCCTCAAGGTTGGCTTGAACCAGCTGCTGTGTATGTTGGAGCTCTCTCTGGGCTGAGCGTAACTGCTAACCCCAACTGCTTTTCCAGCAGGGAAAAGATACAATCCTTGCTAGGGCTGAGTATGTCTGCACTGACAAATTCCCAGGCGGCTGGAGTTTGGCATTTCTGGCACTAGATAATCTGTGGCAAACTTGGAAGGGAAACCACCACTCTGCTAGCTGTGTAAATATATACATCATACATATATTTAAAGAAGTCCATTAAATACACAGCGAGCAGAAGTTTTGGCCAGTGAATTTCAAGGGATAGGAAAAAGTGGAGTGTTTAATTGTCAGAAATTCTGCCCTGTAGTTCATCTCAGTCCCTTGCACACTGTTACTCATCCAACTTTCTGTGTCTGGAGAGGGGCAACTCCAAAAGGCAACTTATCCTGCCTTAGAAGTGAACCAGTGCTGGACCAGAGCTGGTGGAGACAAAACCTGATGGTGATATACTGGGTGCTCAGGTATCTCAGATATCTCATGTCTTTGAAGGTAGAGGCATGAGGCTTTGGACCACATGAATGTCACCTGACTGCAAACCTCTACAGTGTGTACCTCATGGTAGTCCTTCAGGGCCCTTCTGGAAAGAAAAAAGTCATGTCTATGGAGTAATTATCCCGATGTGCTGTTGAGATGTACAGTAGGGTGACATCATGCCCTAGAAGTGCTCATTTTCTGCACTGTCCATAGAGGGAACCCAGGCACCGAGCTCAGATGCAGACACCTGGACTGTGTAAGCACAGAGCCGGGTGAGATGTGTCTAACCTCGGCATCAGAAACCTGTGAAAACTTCTCCCAGAAAGCCTATCAGCAACTCTCAGGAATGGGCTGAAATGCAAATCAGGCAAGAGGCCAAAGCAGCTCGTCACTAATAGAGTAAAAAGGATAAATAGTCCAGTATGGTATGTCCCAGCTGCAAAATAAGCAGACAGAGTGAGGCAGATGAAAGGAGAGAGCTTCCCAGCCTGAGCTTCAGGTGGAGAAGGAATGCTCCAGGTCTCTATGAGATGCTGTACTATGGGCCACCAGCTCAATTTCCTAATAAGGGACGTCAAGTAACACTTTAGAGGCCTTGGGATGTTTCACCTGAGCCTCCTGAAGGATGCATGAATCTCCTGGGTTCTGCACCACGTTTTCTAATCTTGCATAGAGGTCTTCAACATCTTTAAAGTACCTGGAAGCCTACGTTGAGGCACCTGCATCTCACTATTACAGGCAAGTCAGGAACAGAAGAAATAACCACTTAAAAGTTGGGATGAGAGCTGGATTCAGAATGAAACTCATCTCTATTGTGAAGAAAAAAAAAAAAAAAAGGGAATGTGATACAACGAGATCATATTATTACAGATGGCCTCAAATGATCACCATTAGAGAGGCAGATTTATAACGCAACAAGAAAGAAATTCACTTCATGAAAGAGGAGAAAAATATCTGCCAGACAGTCAAGAGAGGAAGGACCATGGCCCCATTGGGGACAACTCAGTAAATGGCAGCAATGGCTGTTTCTTTCGAATGAGCTGAGCTCCAGGGAGCCCGCCAAGAATAAAAATGCAAGACGCGGGAAGGTGTTTTCTGAACATCTCCCAGGCCTGAACTTCATGCCTTTGCTTGTGAGAACCTATAATTGGAAACATCTCCAAGCGTCGGGAGGAAAAAGTAAAGGGTAATGGGGATGGAAAAGAAAACTCACAGTTACTGGAGTCGCTTGCCATGACCAAAAAGCGCATTTATAAATCACAGATCAGGAATGTGAGAGGCTTATTAGGTCATCTAGTCCATGCCCTGACAGCCCAGGTTTGCTCTGTCCGACATTCAGAAATGTCTTCTCCACCCCTTGTCACTTTAAACCCTCCTTGTGGAAAGGCACCAAACCTCCCTGATCCCCAAATTCTGGCAGCACCAGGGAGGGATGCCCGCCACCTGCAGAGGACATTGTTGGGGAGAAAAGTCTTTCTGTGGGGCAGTGGAAAGGAAATCACCTTCCCCCAGAAGAGTCTCGTCCATGGTGGTATTTGGTGGTGGGTCTCTATCCCATCTCCACCCAGTCTCTGTTGACCACCAGCACTGGGAAGGAAACTGGAGCCAAAGGGGCACAGCCAGTCTGAGTAAGGCAGTCCTCAAGGGCATAGTTAGCAAAACAGCCTTTAGTCCTCAATCTGGGAAAAAAAAAATCCCTGTTAAACGTATTTCCTTGGACTCACACCCTTCATCTGAGAAGCAGCATGTGGGGATTTTACCTGCTGCCACCCTAAAAATGTTGCTTTTCACTCTTCCCTCCTGCTAACGTCGCGCTCTCCTCCCTTGACTCTCCTAGCCCCATCCTTCATTTTCCAGAAAGTTGAGGACAACTGAGGGGTGGTTGTTTCTTTTTTTTTTTTTTTTTTTGACCCATCCCTTTAAATAAACAGGCCCCAAACCAAACATGCACTGCTTTATATATAGCATAGCAAGGCTTTCAGTTGAAGTTATGGATACTGACAGAAAACCATAAACGTAATTACAGAGGAAATATGATGCATAGATGGATCATGGCTTTCGTTTACTCTTTTAATTATCTCAGGCAGTTAATAAATTCATTTGAAAACATGAATGCTCTACAGTGTTAGGTCCTTTGAGAGGGATGGGCCCGTTCCTGCAGATCTGGGCTTCGTGAGACTATTCATAGGAGCAGCAGCTCGGGAGAAGCACCTTCAGATCTGAGCAGATATCAGTGAAAAAAACCACACATTATTTGGTTTGGAAGGACCAGTGTGAGTAGGTCACTGCTCCCAGTCAAGTCAAAGGGAGAAAAACTCCTTGAATTGAGCAGTGAAGCATTGGTGCCCTTTAAAACACCCTTAAACTGTGGAAGGATCTCCTCTCTTTCTGATGTGGGCTCTCTCTGGAGGGCATGTCCCCATCCTCCCATGTGTGATGCGACCCAAGGAGGTCTCACAGAGGGACCGTTGATGAAACCATGACCTTCTGCTCCAAACTGATCATTGTGCTTGCTCTCTGTGAAGGCACTGTCTTTTTTGACGCCTATTCTTAAACCCCTTAATCTTGCAGGGATTTAGGTGAAACAAAAATATTTAGACAAAATTACACAGCTGTGGGGAGTGAAGTGTGTGGTAAACTTTAATAGAGACACAGATTGGGGCTTTTTTTGGTATTTGATCTCACTGAAGGCTTTTAATCTGCAGGAACCTAATTTTCTCAGGTTTTCAACTGGAAAAGGCTTGCAGGACTGTTACAATAACCTTGTCCAAGCTTCTGGTAGTCAGAGACAGCCCCTACCCCTGCCCGCCTTCCCCACATCAGTCCTGGTCTGGGGACCACAAGTGCTGGGAAAGCCACCATGTCCCCTGGTAAATGCTTCCCCTGGTTCTGTGAAACCTTTTCAAACAGAGAAACAGGATTTATATAGTAAAAAAGAAAAAAAAAAAAAAAAAAAAAAAAAAAAGAAAACCAAACCCCGAAATAAAGAGGAGGAAGAGGGAGAGGAGCGGGGGGAAAAAAAAACCCTAACCCTGAAGTAAAAGCTTAAAATAAGAGCTGCTTTCAGATATGGTGCCAAATCCAGCGCTGGCAGTAGTGGGCACAAGGCCATTGACTTCCAGCCCAAGCTCGACTGAAGTCGATGCCAGCGGCGAGTTGGCTCACCGAGTGCCGAGGAAGGCCATGGACCTTTGTCAAGTTTTCCCGAGCTGCCTACGGAGTGAAGAGCAAACTTCAAAGCCGTTGTCCCCCCCTCTTCCTTGCCCCCAGCCCACTCCCCTCCCACCGTCCCCATCCTGCAGTCCTTTCACGGCAGCTCATCTAGCAGCCCCCTTGCCAGGCAGACGGTCTCCTCACAGGCTCCCATGCCCCATGTCCCAGCTCCACCCCCCCGGTCGAAGGAGAGAAGCAGGCGCTGCTGCTGCTGCCGGGAAGCACAAAATCTTTCCATTTTCTCCCCTGCTTTCTGCTGGCAGCAGAAAGGCTGCGGTGCTGCTCGAGGTTGGTGAGCTGGGGGACACTCCGGGTTCACCCAAACGCATGGCTAAGCCACCTTTTGCTCTTGAAGGGCTGTGATTTAGCCATGGGAATGGTGCAGCAAAGCTGACCTTGTAGCTGGGAATGGTGCTTGGCTAGGGATGGCTCCACAGGGCATGGGGCATGTCCAGGCCACCACAACAGGTACAGGCAGGGGCTTCCCACAGTGACCAAGTTCCACCCAAAAATGACAGGATCCCTAATGCCACCACTGGCTGTCATAGGCTGATCCTGCAATCCATGCAAAAAAAAACCCCTTCAACACTTCCTGCATTTGGCATTTTTACAACCGCTCTTGCATTGAAGGTGATCCTCAATACAGAGGAACAGTCCAACCTGGGTCTTGGCACCTGGGCAGAGGAGATGCCAACCCCTGGGGAGGCAGAAGTGCCTCGAAAGCCACTCTGTGCCCGGACATCCTAACATCTGCAGACCTCTGTGGTGTGCACATCTGGCTGCAGCTCCCTCTAGTGCTCATCTGTTTTTCAGCTCTACCCAAACAAGTTGCTCCAGCAACCTGCTTGGCCAAACCTGAACACTCCTCGGAAAGCCAAAGGGGGTGCAAAAGGAGATGGGTAAAGCAATAGAGTTTCTACAAGCCATGGCTGCCTTGCCTCCCCAGCCACTCTGATGCAAAACAAGCACTGAGGATCACAAAGCGATGCAACAACCCCCTGCTCTAAGGATGGGAAAGCGTTTGCAAAAAGCAGCGTGCAAAAAAAAAGACCCTGGGGTTCACATGCATTGAACGGAAACGTTGCCTCTCCGCCACAGCCCTGATCCTGCAAAGATCTGTCTGTACCCTGACTTTACACCCAAGAAGCTCCCTGGAGCTCGGATGGAAGAGGCCAAAATATGAAGTTTTTCCAGCAGCAAGAGCAGGTTGACAAGATGCTGACCGTCCATGCACTGCACTGGATGCTCGGCGGTGCACACCTCTGTGGCTGGGAAGGGCACGGTGCCGATTTACAACAGCTGGGGATCTGGACCACAGAACTCATAAAAACAAGCCAAATAAAATAAAACAAATAGCTCCCTTTTACCTTCTTCCCGCTCTTACTAATTTACAGGGGATATTTGTGTTACGGGGAGGTCCTAAATGGCTGAAAAGTGTGTTTTTCTTCTCCCCCTCCCCCTGCAATTACATCATGCGCTGAATCAAAATTGAATTTCCTATCACCTTTCATATCAGTCACTCCCTCTTCCCCAGGCTGGCAAAACCCACCTCCTTATCTTCCCCCCTCCCCTCCCAAATCCTCTTTGAAGCTTGCCTCTGGCACCGTGCCTACAACAACGGCGCAGCGGGCAGACCGCTGAGACAAGCCCACGACTGAAAACATCTCGTAGCACTTTCCTCCCTTTTCATCCCTTCCTTTTTTTTTTTTTTTTTTTTTTTTTTCCCTCTCTCTCTTCATGAGGACAAGAGGGAAGGGGAAGGGTTTGGTTGTACAGCACCCAGCACATGAGTCCAGGGCTGGGATTGCAGCTCTGAGGTATTACTCAGTATTTGGTAGCATCGATCTCTGTTCACCAAGAGTTTACTCATGTGATTTCCAAGGATAATGGTCCCCTAGCCCCAGGGATGGTTCCCTAGCCCCAGAGATGGTCCTCTAGCCCCAGGGATGGTTCCCTAGCTCCAAGGTTGGCAGCACTGTTGCAGCAAGGAAAAGAGAGTGATGGGGAAGGCGGGAATATTGGCCCTTGTTTCCATAGAAAAACAAGGGTGGGGAAGGTAGGAAAAACAGCAAATGAAAATAAAACAAAAAAACCCATAATTTTGTGATATCGCAGCTGGCAGCATCCCAGTTGTGAAGTACCCTGGGACAGGGAGGGCAGGTCTCCTCCAGGTTTTAAACAGGTGTGAGGGGAGCCCTGGCGGCACATCTGGATGCAGTTCATGCTTCAAATGCCACTTTAATCCCAGCTTTCATCTTCTCCACTTGCTTTTCGATAGGGGGGATGTGTCTGCTGGGAAAGGGAGGAGTGGCAACTGCATCGTCTTTCCTCCAACTGCTTCTCCCCCCACCCCATCCCCAAAAGAAACCCTCCCAGCTTAACCACTTACCGGCCAAAAAGTTTATTTTGCCAACAAAACTATTAGGGACCTAGCCTGGCCTTCCAGCCTTTTTTTCATGTCTGTGGCTTGTCACCGCACTATCAGGTTCCATCTGAAACTCATCTTGCCCCTGCCCTTTGGAGAAACCCAGGCCCTAAGCTTGGGATTTGGGACCTTGCTTAAGTGGGGGCCTAATGCCAAGCATATAAGTGAGCCCCTCCCCTCAGTTATGGGTCTGCATGTAAGTGCCCTGCTGAATCAGGGTGCCACAAAACAGTTTTATTTCTGTGCTGCATGGAAAGAAAAGTTGCAAAGGAGTGCAGGCCCTGCCAGCCCATGGAAATGTTGCTGAATGCCCTGCAGAGGGGAGATGCCAGCCCCATGCAAGATGCCGGGTATATGCAGAGCTGAGAGGCTAAACACTTGAGGAAACTAGCAGAAATAAATAGCTGGGCTATGTAATTTAGCTGTGGTGACTGCTACAAGGTGTAAAGCCACACTGGTGAAGAGCTAATCGGGTCCTGACTCTCCTCTGCTTCCATGGTGGTCCTTAGAGTATGGAGAGAGCAAATGAACGATGCCCAAAGTGGGTGACTGCTCCTCCCACCTGATCATGTTCATTTAAACACTCTATGGAGGGGTTCACCCTGCTTCTCTTTATGCAAAAAGTGGATGTGTGGTCTCAGCCAGCTCCCTACAGCCCATGACATCTCCAGAGGACATCTCTTGACATTTGTGTTGGACATCTCTTTGGAGGTGGTGAACCTCCTCCATCTGGAAAGTCCTCTTTCCCATGACTGCATGCAGGGCAGTGAAAACACTGGCTCCAACAAGACATCTGACTGAAGATGTCCAAATTTAAGAGAGCCTTTATAAAAGGCGGCAGGGGAGAACCTCAAGTGACAATGATTGGGACAGTGGGATGGAAATTAGACATAGCACAGAAGGAGGAACAAAACCCGAACCTCTTGTCTCAATTCCCCCATCTAACTCCAAGATCCTCACCTGGACTCACTATATCCTACACAGACTCTTCCTGGCACTGCATCTTATTGTGCCTTTTCTTTTATGGAAGATGGACATTTGAGGCTAGCTCACATTCCCTTATTTATTTTGTGCACAGCTTCAAACCCAACTAGAAAAGACAGATCACTCATCAAGGACATGAAACCAGATGGCTGTTAGAGGGGCTTGTTTGTTTATTTTGCAGTAAGCAACTAATTGATTGCTTGCTTAAGCAAAGAAATGAGATAGTGATGTTTTCACTTTGTTTGCAGTGACATTACCTCCGAGGAAACTCAATCCAGACTTGACCACACTCCCTGGTATTTCCTCACCCTCCTCCTCCCCCCCCCCACTTCTTTTTTAACACCCTTCATGAAATCCAAAGGTTAAAAGGTCCACCAAAAAAACATGTTATCTGTCAAGCATCCCCTGTGGTTGGAGATTGGCGGCATTATCTTAGCTGCTGTCCCTACTGCTCTCATCTACTACCCAGCACAACCAGCGGTCCCGGTGGGAGAGTTTCCCAGCGTGGCAGGAGCTAACGCTAGAAACTTCATTAAGTGGCTCATGTGAGCATTCAAGTGTGTGCCTTTCCCTTATCAATGAGAAGAAGAAAAAGCGAGCCTAAATCATGCATATTTTGGAAAGAAGATGGAGACATATTGTTAGCACAAGCCCCTAGTACACACACTTGAAATCAATGAATGCCTGGAGAAATGCAATGCTTGCTGCTCTTTAAACGGCTTTACAGCGTGCCTCAAATAGCAGTCGCAAAAACGGGTAAGAGACCAGCAATACCACAAAGACTTTAAAAATGCAGAGAGATAGCCAGGTACTTACATCCATTTTATCCCATAGCAAAGCCCCGTCTGCAGAATCAAAGACAGAAAACCAGCTAAGAAAAATCGCGGACTTGGCTTCATTTTCTCCACCGTTCCCCACTTGCCGAAGGAAATCAGCTTCTCCAAAGTAAAAAAAAAAAAAAAAAAAAGGAAAAAAAAAAAGTTTTCCTAATTTTCTGCACAGTGTATTTCCCTTCAGTTTGGGTGTTGCTCCTCCTTGGAGATGAACAACCTGAAAGGAGAGAAAGAGCACGAGCTATGGTTAACTCTGAAGTTCAGCGAGTCGTCACGAGAGAGATCTATTATCCAAATTGCAAAGGAGTGGTTTATGAATCACGAAGAAGTTTGAATTATCCCTTCTTTCTCAGTCCCCTCCCTCGTCAAGCCTTGATACAACCTTTCGAGTCAACAGACAGACAAACCGTATGGCTTGAATTACACCCTGAGTTATGGTCTGATTGTGTGTTTCCATTTAACCCTGCACATGGCAAGACTTCATTCGCCGCTTCACTTCCCCCCCCCAAAAAAAAAAAAAGGTTTGTGTAACTGCTCGGGAAGAAGGAAAAAAAGGAAAAAAAAAAAAAGATAAATCTTTAGACGAGCCCAAATCTTCACCTATTCATCTCTCTCTTCCTTCTCTCCAGATTTCTTTTTTTTTTTTCCTCTTTTTCTGCAGAGAAGACAAATTATAAAAACTGCATTTCCCGACTTCACACAGGTGCCCGTGCCCTGCAGATGTTTCGGTCTGATCTGTTACAACAAATGTGCTTTGCTCTTTCCCTTCTGCTTTCCTTCTCACCTCATTAACTCTGCCTCTCACTTCTTCCAAGTCCTCGGGCACCTGGAGCTCACAGAAAGGGCTGCAACTTTGTAAACATAAAATCCCATTTCTGTCTCTGGGGAGCAGCCAGGAGGAGACAAAAGCTCTCAAGGATCTCCCCCCCACCCCACCCCGCCTCCTTTTTTTTTTTTTTTT